CAGTCAAGGACAGCCCAAAGCCTTGGGACCCCACTCATGTGGGAGACCTGGCAGAAGCTCCTGGTTCCTGGCTTTGGATTGTCTCAGCTCCGGCCATTGCAGCCACTTGGGGAATGAGCCAGCAGATGGGAGATCTTTGTCTCTGTCTCTCCTCTCTGTATACCTGCCTTTCTAATAAAAATAAATAAATCTTGAGAAAAAAAAAAAGCAAAACTATAGGCTAGAAACTGTATGTATAACAATGTTCATATTCCTAAACTCTTTCAACTGGGTCCCAGTGTGACCAAAAGAGATGAACAATATGAATTCTGAAGAAAGCATGAACATAAAAGATGATTTGTCTTGTGAATTAAGGAAAACTAGTCCGCATAGAGTGCACGGAAGAAAGATGTCAGATAAGAACACAAGTCTAATTCCCAAAGAAAGATCATACAAATGAGCAGGTGGAGTTACATAAATGCATGGTAAGGGCTCTTCCAGTTCTTGTTGCCATTAAGCACCTGTAAAAGAAAGGGGTAGGAGGGGGAGGCTCAGCCTTACTCATGCTTCTGTGCTCCCCTCACTCCTAAATTTAATAGACGTGGGCAGCAGCTGGGGTTTCAGCCTTCCGAGTCTCATACCTGTCAGCTCACCAAAGAAAACGTGGAGAGAAATTAACTTTAAAGCAGACCGCCAAAGCAACAGCTCAGCAGCAAGTCCTGTCAGCCACATGTGCTAAGGAGACTCCCAACCTTGACACTGATTCTCCAGACTTCCCTCTGTATTATGGCCGCCAATCCAAGTTTCCCTACTGTTACACTAGTGTCATCACTGATCTCTTAAAACTGTAAAATGGATCCAGTTACTCCCTTACCCAAAGGCCTCTCACCACACTAACAATAAAACCCACCTATCACAGCCTACCGTCTCCTAAGCCCTGAATAATCCAGCCCCTGCTCTATCTACCTCTCCCACTTCATCTTCCCTGGGAACCCTGAAAACCCTGAAGTCTAATCCCACAGACCTTCAGTCAAAGTCATGCCACTCAGTCCCCTGTGCAGCAACCTCTGAGCTGTTTCCTGACTGTGCGATGCTCTGACTGCAGATTTTCCCACAGTAACAGCTTAACATTCAGGAGTAGCTCCAGTTGCTTTCTGGTCACTCCTGACAACTGGGCTGAAAGCAACATTTCACACACACACACTCACACACACACACAGTCCAAACATCTTGTTTCCATAAACTACCTCTAAAATCATGTTGCCGAATTATTTTACTGTTCAACAACATGTCTTAGTCTGCCTTTTGGGACACAATATCGGAGACCAGATAATACATAAAGAACATATATTTATTCCTTACGGTTCTGGAATCTAGAAAGCCCAAGAACACACTGCCAGCACTAATGCAGGCTTTCTTACTGCATAGAATGGCAGAGAATATCAAACGGCAAAGAAGAAGGGGCTACCAAGCACAGGTCTCTCATCTTCCAAAGCCATTAACACATGATGCCCCCATAACTTCCACTCACCCCTGTAACTCTCAAAGGTCCATGTCCAAATACCATTGAGCTATGCACTGTTGGATCAAATATCCGACACGAAGCTCTGAGGGACAAATTCAAATCATAGCAACTCTCCTCCCACACACACATACAGGTATACTGCTCATAAATATATACTTGCAGGCATATTGCTTAGGAATTCAGACCTTGTTCCTTACCGTGTCCCTAAAGCTTAGAAACCATACCTGGCATCCAGTAGCTATTCACTACTTATCAAGTTACAGAGTCCACCTACTCCAAACTTTCAATAAGCCTTAAAAAATTTTTTATTTATTTTTATTGGAGAGGCAGATTCACAGAAAAGGAGAAGCAGAACTGATCTAATCCAAAGCCAGGAGCCAAGAGCTTCTTCCAGGTCTCTCACACAAGTAGAGGGTCCCAAGGCTTACAGCCATCCTTGACTGCTTTCCCAGGCCATAAGCAGGAAACTGGATGAAAAGTGGGACAGCCACAACACAAACCAGTGCCTATATGGGTTCCTGGCACAAGCAAGAGGATTTAGCCACTAGACTACTGCGCTGGGCTCACAGCCTTGTTTTTACCATAAATTTTCCTGGTATTTTTCATCCTCACTTTTCATTTTCTTGCCTGTTCTCTTTCATGAATGTCTTTTGGTCTTCTCTGGGATTACAGCCACACTGAGAACTAGGCAATGAAGAACATTATAAAGAATGCTAACGCTCACTGGAACCCGACGCTATCGACAGCAAGGAAGAAAGCCAAGTGCTTCTGAAGAACAAAAGTGCCTGGGAGCTGGCTTGTGTAGCAGTGGGGCGAGCCACCACTTCCAATGCCAGCATCCCACATTTGGATTCGGCTCCTTACTAATCTACCTGAGAAAACGGCAGGTGATGGCCCAAGTGCCTGGATGCCTGGCACATCCCTTGCCATCACAGTCATTTGACCTTTCAGATAGAATAAAACTAAAAAAAAAAAAAAAGAAGAAGAAAACTAATCTATCCACCAGTGAAGTACTATAGTGCAACACTGCACAAAATTATGGAGGCAGCCTCTGGCCCAAGCAAGTATCATCCCCTGTGGGCCCACGCTACTTCTTAAACAGATTCAGACACAGTAGGGGGTTGACGTGACCTGGGACTCTACATTTGGACAAATACTCCCAGCTATTGCTGACAGAGGTTGTCTTTGGAAACTTTGAACTCTTAGACCAGAGGATGAACAGCAAGGACCTGTGGAATGGTATGGTGGATGGTTTTAACCAGTAAAAATAGTCTTTAAAAAAATGTAAGGAAAAAGAAAAAACTGAAGGTGATTCTAAAGACCAGTTAAATTCATTTCATTATTGTTAATTATTCAAAAATTCTTTGGTCCTTAAGTACAACTTTCACCAATCTTCTTCTATTCAATCTTATTTATTTGAAAAGCAGAATGACCAAGGGGGAAGAGAAGGAGAGAGAATTTTCCACCTGCTGGTTCACATCTCAAACAGCTGCCACAGCCAGGCAGGAACCAGGCTGAAGCCAAGAGCCAAGAACTGTATCCTCTTCTTCCACACAGGCATCAGGGGTCCAAGAACTTGAACCATCACCTGCTGCCTTTCCACGTGCATTAGCAGAAAGATGGATCACACAGTGCAATGCCAGGATTCAAACCAGCACTCCAATACGGAATACCAGTGTTGCAAGTGAACCAGTGTTGGAGGCTTCACTCCCTGCGCTATAATGCGGGCCTGGAGAATTCTTTTCTAAAGCAATGACCCTCTCAAGCTGAATCACCAACTCCTAACAGCGACCTCACCCTTTACAGGCTTAGCGGTGGTCCCCAGCTCTTACTCCAGGGCTTCTGAATCACAGCCTCTGCAGTGTGACCCTCAAAAGCTCCTCAGGGGCTTCTGGCAAGGAACTAAGGTGCAGAACTGTTAAGACCAGCACTTTACAATGAATAAAGTGTTTAGCCCAACAGCTGCTACCTGCCTAAATGCTCACAGCTTGTATGTAGCACTGAAGCCTGGAAAAAATATTATCCTGACCCCCCCCCCATCTGGTGCTTTTTTAATCACTTCAAGCTGCTGATTTTTTGATAAAATGGTACATATTTTTGCTGTTACTCTGCCTACTTAGTATCCACTCTCTTCCTGAAGCGTTTCCCTTCAACTGCAAACCAACACTACTAGTAACAGCGCCAACCTCTGTAAGATCCTGCTGCGAAGGCTAAGCAGGGAGACATCCTTTGCAGGAGGCCCTCCACACAGTGCCTGGCATATGGTGACCACACACAGCAGGGTTGGCTAACCCACTAAAAACCATGCCTACCTCAGCTAGAGCCCATTTCCTGAGCCACTTCCAATCAAAATGGACACAAAACTCGGGTTTAAGTTTCAAAGTCCAGAAAGACTTCAAACTCCCGGTTCAGTTTCCAATCACGGTATCTTTTTCAGCCATCATCTACGGCTGCCAAAAGCCAGCACACTGCTGAGAGAATACAACTTCAGTGAAGTGAGGGCACTGCTCGCAGTCGGCCTGAGTGCTGCGGGCCACTGTCTCTGCTTGCATGCCTCGGAATCATCTAGTTAATCAGATGGAGGCGAAAACCAGAATCTACGTTTATAAAAACTTCCTCCTCCGAAACAGGTGTCTCTCAGACAAACCAAGGTTGGATAATAATTAGTGCACACAATCTGTGACCGCAGCAAATGGCCTCTCGGGTCCTCCCAGAAAAGAGTAAAAAAAAAAAGAAAAGAAAAAAATCTAGTCTGCAATTCTACAACACACCCCCCCAAGGCGCGTCATCAGGCCCTAATTCAAACAACAGCTGGGCCCAGCTGCGCCGTGTAACCGTGGTAGTCACCAGGGACAGGCTCGACAACCCCCAACCCCCTCCCCCGGCCCTGCCTCACCTCCAGAGAAAGTTAGAAAATTACGACAGCCCAGCCCTGCGTTCTCGGAGGGAGATAATGCTGCCCGGGCGGCTACAGGGAGCTAAGGTGGATGCAGCCGCCTCCTTCCCCGAGGCAAGCACAAAGAAAGGTGACCCTGACTGGCCCAGCAGGCCCGAGCGGCGACAGGAGGTCGGTGACCCTCAGGCTCTGTTTCTCGTAATGGTCAGGGGCCTCCACTGCTCTGCCCGCCAGCTGCAGGAAGTGCGTTGCCCCGGCCTCCGGGGGATGCCGGGAATTGTAGTCAAAGGGCTTTCTGCTCGGACAGACCAATTTACCTTTTTCCAAACAAGAACACACCTTGTCACGGTGGAAAAGGCTGTCTGGTGCCCTCGGGCCGAATATTCCCGCCCTTTTCCGGTTGACAAAGCGAATTCTCTGGGAACTGGGGCGGAACACCGGACTACAAGTCCCGGTGTGCTCTGCGGGGCCCCCTCCCCGGCGCGCCCGGCCACTGTCGTCGGTGCGGGCCGCATGAATGGAGCGCGGGGCGTGAGGCGAAGCCTGGCACCGTCCGCGCCGCCGGTCCCTGCTCCCGGAACGTGCGTGCGCGCGCGGAGGGCGAGCGCGCCGGGCCGTTAGCGGCGCGAGGCTGCCGAGGTGAGAGCGGCGGCGCTGCCGGCGGAGCCGCGCGCCCGACGGGCCGGGACTCGCGGGGCCTCCCGCCTCGCTCAGGGCTGTGGGCCGCCGTGGCGGCCGCCGGGGACCGCAAGGGGCGGAGGAGAGGAGGAGGAGGCCGAGCGCGGCCCGCCGACGAACAGCCGAGCATGCCCCGAGACAACATGGCCTCCCTCATCCAGCGGATCGCCCGCCAGGCGTGCCTCACCTTCCGGGGCAGCGGGGGCGGCCGCAACGCTGCAGCCGAGCGGGGCGCCGCTTCGGGCCCCGAGGCGCCGCTGTCCCCCGGCTTCCCCGAGAACCTGAGCAAGCTGCAGAGCCTGCTGACCGAGATCCGAGCCGAGGACCTGAACATCGCCCCGCGCAAGGCCACTCGGCAGCCGCTGCCGCCCAACCTGCCGCCCGTCACCTACATGCACATCTACGAGACGGACGGCTTCAGCCTGGGCGTGTTCCTGCTCAAGAGCGGCACGTCCATCCCGCTGCACGACCACCCGGGCATGCACGGGATGCTCAAGGTGCTCTACGGCACGCTGCGCATCAGCTGCCTGGACAAGCTGGAGGCTGCGGGCGGCCAGCGGCCGCGGGCCCCACCGCCCGAACAGCAGTTCGAGCCGCCGCTGCAGGCCCGGGAGCGGGACGCTTTGCGGCCGGGAGTGCTCCGCTCGCGGGCCGAGTACACCGCGGCCAGCGGCACCTGCCTGCTGACCCCGCACCGGGACAACTTGCACCAGATTGACGCCGTGGACGGGCCAGCCGCCTTCCTGGACATCCTCGCCCCTCCCTACGATCCGGACGACGGCCGGGATTGCCACTATTATCGAGTGCTGGAGCCCGTCCGACCCCAGGAGTCCCCTGCCTCGGCCTGTGACCTGCCCCGAGAGGTGTGGCTCCTGGAGACCCCGCAGGCCGATGACTTCTGGTGCGAGGGAGAGCCCTATCCAGGACCCAAAGTCTTCCCTTGAAGCCGCCGCGCCCCAGGAACCATGGGCCGAAGAGGTCCCCCTTCGCAGTGGGGGGACTGGTCACTGCGACCCACCACAAGGGCTCTCTTCCTCTTTCTCTCTCGCTCGCTCTCTTAACACCCCTCCATCTCCCCAAGCCCGGGCGTTGGATCTACTGGAATGAGCAAAAGCCACTTCCTTGGGAGCACGGGCGCCTGGACAGCCGCCACCGGGCACGGTTATGGGGGCGGAGTGGGCGGGCGGCTGGGCTGTTTCCTGGCTTTGATTTGTGGGGAGGAGGGCCGGGGACGCGGAGCGCCTCCATCCTAAAGCCATACTGAATTGTGCGTCTCCCGTCCCCGTTCTGTGGCTGCCACACTCATGGTTCCCCTCTCTACTCCGGCCCCTCAACCTCCACAGAGGGCATTTTCACTCCTGTCCTAGTCCTTAGAGGTTTAACTTAAACTGTGCATGACCCAGTGGTTTGAATTGTTTTTAGTTCAAGTCATTGGTTGAAAGGTTTTAAAGACATGAGCTCCTTTCACACTGAGCTGGCTATCCTCGTTATGGACTCGTGGGAATGCTCATTCCCCACCTCCCCCCGCCACAATTTGGGGCCCATCCTTACTACATAACTATGCATGCAGAGGACAAGATGTCTTTGTTCCCCTTGTCCGCTGGCCACGGGCTGGTTCACTCAGGCAGCACCCACTACAAAAAATTCACCACCTGCAACCCTGGGTGACACAGTGTCACTTGGAGCCTCCTTCCTCCCCCACACCCACCCCCAGGCCCAGATCTGTGGGCCGAGCAGATTGTTCATTGCAAATCCACTTCTCGTGCAAAGATTGTAGTATCCTCAAGTGACTTTTTTCCCCCTTGTTTTAGTTACTTTAAAGAAGTGATAGGGTAATTCTTTATCTAACCAGGAGATTCAGAGGAGCTTCCACATGACTGAATGTAAAACACCCCTAGCCAGCTGTTGAATTCCATTTACTTTTGACATCTTCCAGTTTAAAAAAAAAAAAAAAAAAGACTACTTTGATGACTGTTTCACATTTCTCTCAGGAACTCTTTGCGTTCCGGGAAGCTGGGAGATCCAGCAAGCCATGTCGCTGGCAGCGTTAGCTCAGCCCTGCCCCTCAGCTGGCGCGAGCCAGGAGGGCTTGCTTCGCTTCGTCCAGTGTGGTCTTCCCTAGTGAGGGAGAGAAGAAGCAGATGGTCAGGGCTGGAGAACTGAGTGCTAACTCTGCCACTGGCCATCCCAGGGCCCCAATGTGAGGAAGGGACACTTCCTCTCCCACCTGAAACGAGCAGGTGTGCCGTAACTGATGTACTTCTGTCCTTTTATAGGGTGAGCAGCTTCCTTTGGTGTAGCAGTAATACTGATCCCACTTATTTCAGGCCCTGGAGCACTGCTTCCCTCCTTTTTACTATTTATAGGATCTCCTTTCCTTCCCCCCCCCCCTTTTTTTGCCACAAAACTTTTAACAAAATGAAACTGTAGAAATAAATATATTCAAATCTGCCCATCTGTTGTGTAAGCCCTCTTGATTGACTTGCCCAGGTGGCAATTGAGTGCTACTATCTTATCAAGGGAGATCAGCTAGTCCTGGGGAAATAGTCTCCCTCCAAGGATAGTTTATGCCTTTGCCTTTTTGTGCACACTGGGTGGCAGAGTCCTAGGGGGAAGGATGGTTCTGTTCTCAATTTTTGAAACAGTATGTAGAAGCAAATTATTATTAACAAATGATACAACATGTTACTATGCTGTAAAACCTAACACAGGCATGATACCAAACATTTCCTCCAGAGTTGCTAAAATTGTTTTATCATAGTTTCACTTTAAGGTGTGGTCTAAATGCCCTGGAGGCAATTTGGAACAGCCCTTTATGTTACTCAGTTTGGAAGTGGACTCCAGAAATGCAAATGGTGGTTTTCTTAGAAAATTTCTTGCAATAAAAATCTTTTCTTCATAGCACAGTAAGGCATGTGTGGGTACCAACCATATATTCACCTTAGAAAACGTTGGTCAACTTAGAAGGATTGTCAACATTGATGTATGTGTTATAATGAAACAATCTGGGATATTTCAAAGCACCTGGCAAAAACGTCTTGGTGATAGAACAATGATGAAAAACTTCACTATGAAAACATTTTAAAAGGTCTTGACCATAAGCAATTTGGAAAGAAAAAAAAAAAAAACAACGAAGGTGCTTTTCAAAAGAATAACTGAAATTGAATCCATAACAGCAATATCTCTGTTGTTCAGTTAGAAGACAGAAATGTTTGGTTCACTAATAAATTCTAAGTAAATTACTGGTAACAATAAAATGCAACTTGTCCTAGGGAGCCACTAAGCAAGACTATACTTACTACAAAGACAAATGTGCACAGAACAACTTGCACCTCTATGCATAAGCTGTTATCATGACTGACTCTATTGCTGCTATTGTATTTCCATATAGTTCGCAATATAAGTTCCGTTTCAGCAACTGCAGCGGAATAAAAGATCTTACCACAGGAAAGACCCAATGAGCACAAACAGTTAATCACTTAACTTTCCTGTAGAATAATAAATGCAATAATTGCCTCTCATGGTGAGAAATTGTATAAATTCTTCTGAAGCTTTTTAAATTTTCTAGCTGATGTCAGTGCAGTATTGTATAGCTACCTACTACTTGTATGAGATTGATTTTTTACTAAATCTGATCTGAATGGATTGAGTTTGTACCAACTGCTGTTTATTAATGAAAATGGTAGCCTGATGTTCTCAGTACAGTGTGTTTTGTCCATAGGAGTGGATGTTTATTCCAGATGACCCTGAATCCTGTGCTTTTCACACTACCGCGCGGCAAAGAAGTGTCCACCCCGGAGTTCTGTCCATTGCTGTTCCCCTCCGACCCAAGGGCAGTTCTACTCCTGTAACTGCAGTCTGTTTCCACACAGAAACTGACCACTGGTCACTTCCATGACAATGATGCATCTGCTATCAGAGAAGGAAAGCATTTATTAAGCCCCTTACGAATCTGAATATTCAAGTTCAGGAATGTTAACATTTCTTGAAAATCAGTGTAACACTAATGGAAAATAAATGCATGCTTAAAAATGTTTAGAGATAAATCTTGATTATTGCAAATTGGAGAAGTTAAATGCTATCAGTTACGATGTCTGCATTGTGGTTACTGTGAAAATGGTCTATATCAAAAGATTATGCTGTACAAAAACTAGTGACCTGCAAGATTTCTCAGTCCCACACAGCACTATAAACTTAAAATTATGGTTTGTTTCCTTGACGGTGAGCTTTGTAGCAATGTGAAAAAAAATACTTCTGAAACTACTTAATGTCAAACTGTACTGTTGTTAACTGGAAAAATATATTTAACATAAAGGAAATAAGTTAGTACAAGAAAAGAAAAGAAAGCAAAAATACTTTACTCCTAGAAGGAGAGAATCTTAGGATTTAAATATTATCTTTCCTGGTTGGTTTTTCCTTTTCCCATGCTATCTGTTTAGTTGTGGTTTAGACTGGCAGCATCTTTATGTTAACACTTATTCTTTCCATATATATACACACACACACACATTGAGCTGTTAAATTGTCACTGTAGCAATATTTAATAAACAGAATGGTTTGCCTTAATCTCATTAGTATTTAGGATATTGAAATTAAATAGGCTATTTTATGAGCTGTTAAAACCTTATTTAGGTTTAATCAACCTGTTTTTGATTTTGTTTTTTAATATGAATTGAACCATCCCCAAAGCATCATGAATCTCCAAGGAATTGCTCTCCATAAGTTGTTTTAGTTTTTTTTTAATAAAAAGCCCCAGTCCCAGTGAAGCGTCAGTAGCGTGAGCCGGTGAAGCGGGCATCATGGAGCAAAGGGAGCAACGTGCCTACCACCCTGTGATTGACAAAATGAAAAGAGGAGAGGCCAGTAAGTATTCTGCATGTCTGAAGCCCACTGCGAAACCTGATTGTGGATACTGGCCGAAAGTGTTGAAATTCAGGAGTCAAAGCCTCATGGTTGGCTCTGAGAAAAAAATGAGGTAAGGTGTTCCGGATGGCTTTACTGCTGCTACCTTAGCAAGCCCACATTCCGGTAAAAGTGATTATGTAAGAAATTGGCTGTCATCAGTCTTCAGTGACATGTGTAAGCAGTGGTTTAGGCTGTCTTGATTGAGATGCTCTAAAATTTGCCAAGATGAGTATATATACATATATGTATATCCTAAACCATGAGTATTTTGTATTTTTATCATGAAATCTTAGTCTGAGGGAAGCATTCTGTTAAAAACATGAGATGATTAAAACGTGATGTATACCTACTAAAATTGGACAGGCAAGGAGGATGATACGCCGACAAAGCTGGGGAAAATGAATCTGATGGAAAAACACCAGTCACTAGAAAACAGACACCAACATTTTTGAAATACTATAGGAGGTATGCTACATCCTTGGACTAGAGCTAGAAGAGAAAGAGAAGGATTATTTCCTCCTCAAATTGGATCTCAGGTTCTGCTGGTAGGGGCAAAGGTATCTTCCAGGAGTAGCTCCTCTAAACACCGGCCATCAGTCACGAGCCACGTCTGAAGCAGTCACAACAGCGAAAGAAAAAGGGATTTTTCAAATGTAGCTCAGCTACGGGGACTGCAACATGCTCCCTGTAAGGATCCGCAAGCAGTGAAGGACCAAATGATACTGAGGCCCCAGAGCGCAAAGACAACTTCACAAAGACGTGATCTTGTTTCTTTCATACGATAGCTGCATAAATGAGTCGTCCCTGGTGGAATTTATAAAGTCACTATCGAAGAAGTGTTTCAGTAAAAGGAGTCCCACAGCATACTCTGCCATTCGCTGGTACCATAGAACCATACTTGCCTATTTTAATTTGGGTTTTCTTTGATGTTTTCGAGCGTACACTATCTTAAATGATGAACCAATGCAGGCGAACAATCCCTCCAAGCAAGAAGGATCTGTTAGGAGGGGAGGGCCAGGAAGAAATGAGTGCTGGGTAATTCCTTTGACAACCCAGCGATGCTATCATCTGCAGCGTCAAAGAGCATTTTTGATCTGAAGAGATGATAGCACTTGGCAAAAAAAGTTTTTTCTGTGGTCATGAGACTAATCCTGGAACCTGAAAGTCATTTCCAGCTTGACCACGCCACCACACTTTCCACAAAGCCCTATCTCGTCTGAGTTCCAGGCCGCGGTCAGGGTTCTGAAAGCAGTTACAAATGTGTTGTCTCCGAGTGGGCACTTGTTTGTAAGTATTTATTTTCCGGAGCCCACTCAGGAGCAGAGTGAAGCTATAGGCTGTTACAGAGGACGGAACAATGAGTCAAAACAACGCCTCCCCACGTTTACACTAATGCATGGGGGAAATCCCCAAAGTACGCGCGTTTGATTATGAATGGAGATTACTTTGGAGTGAGAGGGCTGGTGTCCACGGGTTAGCAAAGAAAACTTGGAAGCCCTGGTCTGGTCAAAGCACCTTAACTCCTGGTGTTTGGTCGAATAGTTCCATAGGTGTTGAATGATTTTAATCCCCACTCAGCAGCTACCTCATCAATGATTTCTGCAGCAAAAAATATTGTTGAAAGCTATTTATTTACATCATAGTTATAAACCATCCATTGTCTGCACTTCAGTTAGTGGTTCTGCATTAGAATAAATCATTTATTTTTTTTTCCACAACTACTAAGAGCTAATATCCAAACAAAGCAGCTCCAGCAACATTATATACATTCTTATCTGAAATCTGACTACAAAGGGAACACTTTTCAGTCACAAAACAGCATACAAAAATATACTTTCTAAAAAAAATTCCAAATATTAATAGGCAGAAATATACAGCCATACTAAACCCAGGGAGTGATTTTTTTTCCATAGTAAGGCAACCCATTTACATGCAGACCCTGTAACATCGTCTACATCACACAAGGCACAAGGACACTTCCAACACAACTGCATGCATCCTAGTTTCACAGAATATATGTACATTTCCTCTTTAAATAAGTTAACCTCTGACTCATTTCAAGAGATCATAAATGCTTTACATTGGTTTCCCAAAGGGCCAGAACTTGGAGAACAGTGCACATCAAAAATACACACAATCTAGTGGATATACACTGAAAAAAATAGTCTTTACGTTTCTCCAATAACTCAAAAAGGAGCAGGTATTGCTATGTCCCTCCTGTCACATTGCACTTCTGTTCTCTGAGTTTATAATACATATTGCTTCAGGGCTGAGCCAACCAGATACACTGTGACTCACTGTTCTGCTTCTAGGACACAGAAGGCATCCCCCAAGTCAATCCCAAGCCGTAAAGTGCACATCAGTTGTCTTTTTTGCTGTCCCCACTTGCAGGGATCAGCATCTCCCAACCTACTGTAAGGAAAAGTCTCACACCTGCTCTGACATCCAGGAGCATGGGTAAGGAGTCAAAAGAATGCCAGGAAGCTGAGGAGCAGAACCGGCTCAAGCAATCTCCCAAAGCAGGGTCAGGCCTCAGTCCTGCAGGCCCACACCTCCAGCCATGGCCTCCCCACGTCCCTCCAGGTGACTGTCCACTCATCCACAGGCTCTCCTCTCTAAAGGGAGAGGAAACAGCACCCAGTGCCACTAAGGCCCTCTGCCCACAAGGGAGGGAGGAAGGGAAGGCAGGCATTTGGAGAGTCAGGGGTTGGTAGTGTTTGTCTTGGGGTTCAAGTGGAGGAAGGGACTAGGGCCTCAAGGAGCAGGTGTCAGCCTGAGTCTTATCTCAAGGTGTCCGGGTCCTAGAGGAGCAAGGGACCAGCGGCCCTCCGCCCATAGTGCCACCACTGTTGCTGCCGCACAGGGTACCCCCAGACTGTGTGCCCCCAGGACAGGAGGCCCCAGAGGGGGCCGGCACGGAGGAGGAGGGCACACTGCTCTTGCGCTCCTTCTGTCGCAGGTGGATCTTGGTGTGGCGCTTCCTTTCATCGCTCCGGGCAAATTTGCGACCACAGTAGTCACAGGCAAAGGGCTTCTCTCCGGTGTGGGTGCGGATGTGGGTGGTGAGGTGGTCACTGCGGCTGAAGTTGCGCATGCAGATCCGGCACTGGAACGGCTTGTGACCCGTGTGGATGCGGATGTGCCTAGTGAGCTCGTCAGAGCGTGAGAACCGCCGGTCACAGCCTTCGGCGGGGCACGGGTAGGGCCGCTCGTGCACAGGGGTCTTGCTAGGTCTGTTGGGGTACTTGCGAGGCCTCAAGATGGGCCGCAACGGCAGGTGATGAGGGTTATAGGCGGCTGCAGCTGCAGCAGCAGCTGAGCTGCTGCCAGGCAGCCGGGGTCCCTCGTTGCCTCCACCGGCCCCTGGCCCTGTGACCCCAGCACCGGGCCCCCCCAAAGTAAAGTTACGAATGGTGGAGAGTGGAGTGAGTGGAGGGGGCACCCTCAGGGAGTCCAGAGGGCAGGGAAAGGGCTTTCGGTCCGGGCCAGCAGTACCATGCAGGTCCCTCTGGCACTGAGGCGGAAAGAAGCCAGAATAGTCTGGGAGCATGGGGAAGAGACCAGGGTCCGTAGCAGGCTTTGGGGATGGATAAGAAGGAGGTGGCGGGTAGGCTAGAGAAGAAGAGGTGGAGGTGGTGGCTGCAGTCAGGAAGGCGGAGGGGTCCTGGTAGAGATCCCCAGCACAGCCAGAATAGGGTGGCGGTGGCGGTGGCGAGTAGAGGTGGTCCAGGTCAGGCTGAGTCTGCGACATGGTGCATACACCTAGGGGTCCTGTGGCCAGCGGGTTTGGGGAGGCAGAGGTGACGCTGGAGGAGGCAGTAGTGGAGGCTGGGGAAGTGACCCCTTGAAGGATGCCTGCGCTCACAATATTGATGATGCCTTCTGGGTAGCAGCTGGCACCAGGATACTGGGGGTCGATGGAGAACTTGCCCATGTAAGTCAAGGTCTGATTTCTGGGTGCTGAGACGGGAGCGAAGCTGCTGGGATATGGGAGATCCAAAGACCTCTTCTCTCCAGTCATGTCAATGTTGATCATGCCATCTGGGAAGGGGAAAGGCACAGTAGAAGTGCAGAATGAGCCTGCAGCCAAGAATCAGTTCTCACACGGTCTCCCCTGCGTCCCTTTTCCCAAGCCCAACAGGTGGGGACATGGAGCCCTAAAGGCAGCCAGAGAACCCAGCCCAGAAACCCACTGTGGCAATGTGCAGTCTACGACTCAAGAAGTACCTCCAGGAACGTGGCATGAGCTTCTCCCAGCCCTTCCACAAAGCCATCTGTGACTCTAGTCCCCAATAAAAACACCCAATAATAGCAACAACAATATTAAAAATTTCCCATCTGCTTGGAACTTCTCTCCCTCTCCTCTCCCTGCCTGGGGAAATCTCATGGCTGGGGTTGGGAGTGGAGGTAGTGGTATGGGGTGAGCACGCACACCACTCTCCCCACCCCGACTCCTGCACCAAATCCAGAAGGTGCCAGCCACAGAAAGGAGCCTGAGAAGGGAGAGGCAGTCCGAGATTTCCCCCACCTCCCAATACTGGTGCCTTCTTTCTTCCCTCTCCCGCTGCGCTTCGGCAGCGGCAGCGGAGGATTGCTGGAGAGGATGGCTGAGTGAGCCGCGGAGGAAGGAGTTCTGTAGGTTTGCCTTCCAACCGAACCATCTCAGGTTGGCCTGACACCTGCGCTTCTCCGCGCCGGCCCGAGACCGCCACTGGCCGGGCTTCGAGTACGGGGAGCCGCGGGAGGCGACTTTCTACATCATCGTCAAGGAAACCAGCGGCGCTGGTGCCCCCGCGGGCCTCCCTCTGCAGTCCGGGGGCTGCTTCCCGCGGCTGCTCGTCCTCCTCCAACACCCCCTCGCCTCCTCCGCGCCGGCCCAGGCCCCCGCCTCACTAACACCCTCTGCTTCGCGGGCGGGTCAAAAGTGGGGACGCGCCTCAAAGCCACACAAGGAGCGTGCTCTGAGATTCTCCCTAGGTCGGCTCTGCCCTGGGCGGGAGTTAAGGGCGCTCTCTGGCGCGTCTCCGCCTAGCGCTAGGCTCTCCAGACGCGCATCTCTTCCCCTGGAGCCCCGAACTTTACCGGCACTTTGTCCCTACTCCGGAAGAGGGAAAGGCAAAATACGGCCAGTGGAAGAGCCGGAAGCCCCCGCAAGCGCCTAGTCCATCCCTTCCCCGCGTGGGTGCCTGTCTCACCCCATCCCCGCCCGCGGTTTAGCGCGCCGGGGCGCACGCACGCCAGTTCGCAGGCGACCTGGAGCATCTGCCCGCGCGCCCACCTCGGGCGCACTGGTCCCTAGTTCTCGCGGGCTCCTCCAGTACCTACTTCCACTCTTCCACGCCAGCGCGGTCGACACCGTCCACCCCCCAACCACAACCCTCCCCTGCGAGTCCCGCACAACCACCCGAACCCCATCCACCACTGCCGAGCCGCGCGGGTCCCAGGCTGGGAAGAGGGGCGCGCCGCTTACCTCCGGCAACTCCGTTCATCTGGTCGAAGGGGCCTCCCAGCTCGGCATTGGGGAAGATGGTCACCGACGTGGCGGCGAGGTCCTCCACCGGGTAGATGTTGTCAGACAGCTGGTGCACAAAACCACTGAGAGTTACTGGGATTTTGTCTACGGCCTTGGCGGTCATCATTTGCTCCTCGCACAACCTGGAGACCCAACGCCCTCGCTACCTGGAGTGTCAGAGAAGCCGTTTTGGAGGGAGGTTGGACTGAGCCCGGGCTGGTATCTCCTTTTGCCCTCCACACTTGGAAACAGCCACCCCCCCAAAGAAAAAAAAATCCAACAGAAATCAAACTGGCAAACAAGTTGCTGCTTTTTTTTTTTTAAGAAAGAAAAGGAAGAAAAAAAAAAAGGCTATTCGCCACGCACTCCTATTTGGCTGCCGGGAAGCCAGGAGTTGCTGGTGTAGTGTTATTATAACAGTCAGTGTGTCCCCTCGCCGAGCTATTAATCAATTGCGGCTCTCTCAGTTAGACGGAAAAGTGTTGCTCTAAGTATTTAAGGGCAGGGCTTCAATGCACCGTGACGTCACTGCCCATATATGGACTGAGGAACAGGGCTGGGCCGGGCGGCTTTTGCCGTCACACGGTCCGTTTGCACAGGCGCTCCGCCGGGCGCGCGGCTCGGGGCTGACAGGTCCCGGGGACCCCCGGCGTGGGGCTGGGGGGCGCCGTGGGGAGGGGGCGCGCCGCGCAGCCCGCTGCGACCCCGAACCCGAGAGCCCCGAGAGTCGGGGCTGCGGCGGCGGCTCAGCCTCCTCCCCAAGCGGGGAGGAATTCCGGTTGTCCCCCGACTTTCCAAAAAAGGCGAAGATCCGGTACCGGCGGCTCCGCCTCCCCAGTCCTTGTTTGGAGCCATTCCGGAAAATTAAACTTCGGAAAGAAACCGAGCGGAGCCGAGACACTACAGTCAAACCCCTACTCACTTTCTTGGCAGCTCAAAACCGCAAGCAAAAGGAGGCAGCGAAGAGAAAAAAAAAAAAAAAACAGCTAGATGCATTCACGGAAGCTGACTGCTTTTTTCTGAATTACTGAGTGGAAAGAAGTGGCTGGTGATAAGAGTGAATGCGGTATTGCTTTTTTGGAAAGTCTGTTCTATTTATACAGGAGCGAAAACGGAACAGGTTTGGGTTGTTTGTTTGTTTGAGTCTTTTGGGGCGCCTTGGGGTGGGGTGGGGGTAGACCCCGGGAGGAAGGGAGCTTCGAGAGCAATCAGCCGGCGGCTCCCCCTCGCCCCTGCCTGCGCGCTGTCCGCCCCCCAGCCGCAGCTGCTGCGCCGAGCGGGCGCCCTTCCCGGCGCGTCTGGGCGGCCGGCTGCGTGGGGGTGTCCAGATGGAGACTTGGACACTCACCCTTCCCCGCCACGCGCGCGCGCGCACACACACACACACACACACTCTTACACACTCGCTCCACTTCCGCTCCACACACTCCCACCCCCGCGGCCCTCTTCACACACCCACTCGCACACCTTACGCTACACGCCTCCCTGTTGACAGCGCGCCCGTGCGCCCGCCTCGCAGACGCGCTCCCCCGGCGGCACAGCCCGCCCGGGCGCGCCGCGCGCTCTGCCAAGGCTGTTCTCGGCCCCGCTGGCCGTCCCAGCACCCACGGGCCCTCCCACGGCCCGCGGGGCGGAGGGGAGCGCCCTAGACGTGGGTGAACCCTACTCCAGAACACGCACCACGCACACAGTGAGGTCTCGCCCTCGTCCGCAGCCATCTCGAGCCACTCGGGAGCTCCAGGCGGCCCCGAGCGTCAGCAAACATCCCTAAAGAACGCGCAGGTTTGGAGACGCCATCACCCCACACGTGTTTTCCTTTGTGAGTCAAAAAACATAAATAAACCTTTGGGGACCTCTCTCGTGTTTGTTCCGAAAGCAATTTTAAAAAACCATACACATACAACTTGTCAGACATCCAGAGAGGTGGGATGTGAGTCGCTGAAGTCACGGCTCCCACCTGCTAGCGCAACCCCAGCTCGCACCCGGAGCCTGGCTGGCCCCGCGTCCCCCAGCCTGGTTCGCGGGCTGCGAACTGCTCTCGCCCTTCCCCGCTCCGAGGTCCGCGCGGTCCCCTTCGCGCCCCCACCCTAAGCGGTGGCCACAGCCTCGAGGGGACCGGGGTGGGCAGGAGCCACGGCGCCACGCCGTGGAGGGAGCGCGGCTCTGCAAGCGGCTCCCCGCCGCTCACCTGCCCCGGCCGGCGCTCGGCGGTCAGGGCCCCGGCGCGGCTGGGGACCGCCTCTGCCTCTCCACCTAGGTGCCATTCCCCAACCCCCTCTCACTGCCCGTCTCAAAAGAGCGAGTCCTTAGCTGCGGACAGCCTCCCGGACCTCAAGCACCCAGGACAAAATTGGGAAAGTTTTCCGCTCGCCCTGAGCGCTCCTTTCCAATTGTGAATCCAAATAAAAGATTCAGAGAAAAGAAATCGGGGCCAGGTTAGCACCCTCGAAGGTGCTCCGTCCTCCGCAAAAAACGTCCCAAGACTCGTTTCTAAAAAAGAAAGTCCACGATTAGGAAAGAAAGCTGCGCTCTTACCACGTGCGCCAGCCCGCTCCGCCTGCGCTCCGGCCTGTCCCGCGGCCCCCGCGCTGACCACGGGCAAGACGACGCCTCGGAGGGGAGCCCGACTCGCATCTCCAACCCTGAGTCCGAAAGAAGGGGTCGCGGGGAGGTGGCGTGGAGGGGAGCCGAGTTATGCAAATGTCGAGCCCGGCGATGGGGCTCGGGTTACGGCCCCCCGCTCGGCCCGGGAGGTGAGGCACCGGCGGCAAGCGCGGGTGCGGCGACTGCTCGCGCTTCGCTCCTCTCGGCGCACGTGGGCGGACGGGCGGGCGGGCTGGCAGGCGAATCGCAGCGGGCGCTGCTGTCAACCCGGCCGGCGGCCACCGCGCGCCACCCCGAGGGGGAGCTCCTGGGCGCCGGAGTGCCCAGTGAGCGAGCGGGGCGCAGAGGACAGGACTCCTGGCCGGGGGCGGCCGGGGGCGGCCGGGGCGAAAGGAAGCAGCGCGGTCTGCGGCTGCTACTCTTCCCGGAGAAGGAGGAGGAGCAGGCCCCACCGAGGAGTCTTGAACGCAAATTAGAGTAAAAAGGAGTGACCGACCCTCAGGAAGTCTTACTCGCTTCCCAACTCTAAGACCTCCTGCAGAGCTATGTCCCAGGTGCGGTGGGGCGCAAGGGGCTTTGGCAGCTGCCGGGGGAGCCCCCTGCTCAGGCCTCGGGAGTGCCTGAGGTCGCTAGTGGGAGGCCTTTCCGGAACCTCCGCAGCTTCAGAAGCTACCGGGTCAATTGATACTTCATGCAACTTTTTTTTTTTTTTTTAAGAGTGTCTAAGTGCAAGCCCTTAAATATGGGAAGGGCACTGAGCGGAGCAAAAGCAAGACACATTCATTTGGAGTCAGCCCAGCCACAGCGTAGAGATGATCAAATTCAGAAAGCTCAAGTGACCTGCCTAAAGATGGAATCCAAACTTGCCACTTGGGGCTTCTGAATCCCACGACAGGACACACACAGGTCCCCACTTCCTGCTGTCCGGCAAAACCCAGATCTGGCAAGTAAACAGGAGTGAGGATTGAGAGCCTGGCTCAGCCCACTTAGGGAAGAAACGGGTCACGTCCGCCGATTTCATCCTGTCTTCGGCATTTCTTAGGAGAAGAAAGCTGAGGTCAGGGCTGTCTTAGAGCGAAGGGGCTGTCAGGGACAAGCCTCTGCCGTGTAGGAGAACCAGCAGGCTGGCAGAGAGCCGGCATACTAATAGATTCGGTCATAGGAGAAGCCAGTCCCACAGGATCCTGCCGGGAGGCCAGAAGGAGTGAGGAGAAAGAGGTAGGGGACCAATGGAAACTCTAGAGCTGTTTCCTGAGCCAGAGACTGTACTGCTGTGTGCGCTGAGGAGGAGAGGGCGGAAGCAGAAGGAATGAGAGCTGACCACAAAGATGCACTGTGGTCCGTGCTTTTAAGTACTGGAACTCTGGGTTTGTGCTCACACTAAACAATTGATCGCCTTTCTTTAAAAGGGAGTTCCCAAAATTCCTCAGTGAAGTGAGTGTGCCCCCATATGTGCTGGGATTCCTGAAAAGGGTGGCAAATTGATGTCAGATTTTCAGCTTGCTTTGTCCAGGTTCCAGACCCAGAGAGCCTAAGAGGAAGGATGTAGAGAAGTCCTGGTGTAGGCTTGCTGGAAGGGCAGGACCGAGAGGTGTGAGGTGAGGATGTGGGAGGGAAGGAGCAGGGGTAGCAGCCAGAGGGTCCCAGCTGGGGCCAGTGCCCTTCTCTGTGTGCTGTTTGGGTTTTGCCCCCAGATTTGCAGGTCTCGTGAACAATGTGGTGACTGATTCACTACCAGTCACGAGACACATAATCAATAACATTTGCACTTTGATTTGTTAAGAAACTTTGTGTGTGTGTGTGAGCATCGTTATAGGCTTAGCCAAGCAGTGTCACCTTTGTGTACTTCCATTCTGATACTGCTGGATCAGAATGGAATGGAAGACAAAAGTGTCAGCAAGACCCTCAGCCGTGGACACATACCAGCGGGTGCCTCCCTGACTCTAATGGTTGAGGACGTGCGCCTCTGAAAATCAGCCCTACTGGCAACTCTGCCATCCAGTCCGTCTTTGTTAAGTGTGCCCTTGTGTGCTGAGAAAACTGCTCAATGATTTAGCATTGCATTACAAATCTCTACAGCAGGCCCCCAGTTCTACCAATCAGCATCATCATGATGCTTCCCACCAACTCAGTGTGGACGTGAAATCCTGAGTTATTGGCATGAGTGATCTGACAGGAGGAGGCAATCACCCCGCACCTCCGGGATCTGCTTTTGTAGAAGCAGAACCACTGGCCCAGGTACCAGGTGCTGAGGTTCTGTTTCTCAAGCATCTCATATGTGTCCAGCACGAGTCAGACTCTGTGAATACAGGCGCCTAAAACCAGATTTGTTCCTGTTCCCGCGGAGATGGCCAGGTACATCACACAAATATACAAAGACCATGTTTGATCCCAATGAAAGAAAAGGACAGGGAACCCAACTGAGTTTGGGAGGTTGAGAGGGATCTTCTGGATTCGGTGATCTGAAAGAAATGCAGTGATGGGAAAAGGATTTCTATAAAAGAGCATTCCGGGGAGAATGAACAGGTGTTGAAAGGCACCGAGAGGAGAGGAAGCCAAGTGCAGTGCGTTTGTGGGATGGTGGAGGCCTCCAGTGCCTTCCATGCCAGTGCCCTGGGTGAAGCGCAGCCCACACAGGCAGCCTTCACTGGAGAGTTTGTAGTCTCTATGACTCTACGCTTTCCCTGTCGGGTTTTTTTTTTTTTTCTGGCTAATGACAGAGGCACAATAATTTTTACATTTGAGGTATCTTTTTTTAACCACTCAGTTTCTGCAGACGAGTAAGACAAGCCAACCAAGTTTCAGCAGGGAATACACGGAAATGCTTACTGACATCAGCATTGTGTTTCTGTGACAGTCTTAATAACGTTCTGTAGTTGTCTATTTCTCAGTAAGGAAATGACAGACAATGTGAAATGTGTCCCATTTAAAATGAACAGAGTATCTAAGTGTAGTCTTTTTGGTAGAAATACATCATGTCAAATTTACAGATCCCTTTACCAGTGCTGGCAAATAATAATAATAATAAAGGCCAAATCAATGCATCGTTCATCATGCTTGTTTAAGACAAGACACATATCTACCTGAGGTCTAGATCAGTAAGTCATTGATCGTAAAGACCCAAAGTAAATGCTCCATTCCAAACTTTATCTTTTTATCACATTGCATTTTTAATATTTCAGCGTAAACATTGAATTTATTGTCTTTAATTATATGAACAATGAAGTTCACTATAACTAGGGAATTCCCTGAATTTTTGTTTAAAAGGTTTATTTAGTTTTACTCCCCAAGTGACTGCAGCAGCCAGAGCTGAGCCAATTTGAAGCCAGGAGCCAGGAACTTCCTCCAGGTCTCCCACGTGAGTTCAGGGTCCCAAGGCTTTGGGCCATCCTCGACTGCTTTCCCAGGCCACAGACAGGGAGCTGGATGGGAAGCAAGGCTGCCGGGATTAGAACCGGTGTGCCTATGGGATCCTGATGCATGTAAGACAAGAATTTTAGCTGCTAGGTTCCTGTGCAGGCAGTTCATTGATTTTTTTTTAATTACTTAAAAAAATTAATTTGAGGAAGAAAGAAAGACGGAGGAAAGAGAAGGAAGGAAGGAGAGAAATCACACACCCACTGCTAGTTCATTCCCTAGAACCTTGCAATGGTGAAGCTAAGCTGGAGCCAAAGCCTGGGAGTGTCACAGATGCAGGAATCTAATTATCTGAACCATCACCACGACCTCCCAGGGTGTGCATTGGCAGGAAGCTGGAGTCAGGAGCAGGAACTGAGCATCCAACCCAAGACTTCAGTGTAGGACTCTGGCATCTTAGCCATGAGTAAACTTATAGAAACTTACAAACTTATAGAAACTTTATTTTTATACTGACAAAAGGTTCAGGCTTCTCAGTGAATCCAATTGTCCACAAGTGTTTCATATCATCTAAATAAAAAAAAGGGGGGAGGAAGGAAATGAGAGGATGGAGGAAAGAAAAAAAGGAAAGAGAAAAAAGAGAGAAGAGAAAGAAAGAGAGAGGCAGGGAGGGAGGGAAGATAGAAGGAAAGGAAAGAAAAGGTAGAGAAAGAAAAAAGAAAGAAGTCAAGAAAGAAAGAAAGAATCTGTTTATATTTCAACTAAATAGTCTTGACAAGAATGTTCACCATTTTTATGGTTAAAATTCTGGGCCTTGCAGACCCACCCACTTGGCCTGGGCTCAGATTCTCTGCTACTTCCTGGCTGTATGCTGTTAAACAAATGCTGTAACTTTTCTTTGCCTCAGTTACCTCATCTGTAAAGGGTTGTGTTGAGGATTAAATATGATGCTGCATGTAAAGCATAGAGCATACTGTCAATAGTAAATATTCAATCATTTTTAGCTCTTATACTGTAAGAGAATGTCCATGGTGTCTAGTATACGTACCATGTTGTTCTGGGTTCATTGTTTTGTTATTCACAATGACCTTGACAAAAAGAGTTGCTTATTTCAATTTTGCAGGTGAAGGAACCTAGGCTCAGAAGCTAAACATAGCCAGACTATGAAATTTGTTTTCTCAATCACTAAAACATATGTTTCACATACTGTATGTGATGCAGCAACCCACAGCAAAGGAAAATAATAATTGTATATGTATATACATATATAATACTTGGTACATATGCACATATATGTATGAATGCGTACATATATTTGTGCATATATCAAGTAGGTATATGCATGTATTTACTCGGCATACACATGTACATATTTAATATATAAATTGATATATGAAATATTTGTAATTTCCCCTTCCCCCCAATTCTGAGTTTTAACTTCCAAAAAAAATTAAGATGATAGCATGACTGAGGAGGCTCACATTTGGGCTGTAAGGAGAAAAAGAAACACAGATGGCAGAAGATATTGGTGTCTAATTTAAAGATATTCCATATGGAAAAAGTCCCAGATTAATAATAATTAATAATCAATTCATTTTGAAAGAAAGATCAAAATGCGCGGCAATAGTATTGTCTTTCTTCCAAGAAGCCTTAGGAATGTATGCTGGACATTT